GGTCACCACTTGCAGTGTTCTTGGTAACTTGGGTTATAAGAATCCAAGAAGGTGATTTAGGGTTTTTCCACCATACTCCTGGAGGAAAAAACAAAGGTCCACTACTGGAGGGGCTAAGAAATGTCATATCCTGCCCTAGCTGCTTTGGCTCTAAGGATAGAGCCTCGGCCTGCAGATTACAGGGTCTGGGTTCGATTCTGATCAAGGACATGTAACTAGGTTACAAGCTTCTCCCAGGTCAGGGCTCATGGAGGAGCAACCAATCTAAGTGTCCCTCTCATATTGATGTTTATCTCTCCCTCTCCCTCTCCCTCTCCCTCTCCCTCTCTCTCTCCCTCCTTCTCCCTCTCCCTCTCCTTCTCCCTGTCTCTCTTCCACATTCTCTAAAAATCAATGGAAACATAGCCTCAGGTGAGGACTAAAAAAAAAAAAAGGTCATATCCTATGAAAGATATATCTTGAAAATGCCTAAAGGAAGTTGTCATTTTTTCACAGTGAAGGGACTAGATTTCGTGTTAATGAAAACACCTTGGTGGCTGCAGTGGCTGCAACAGGGCAGTAATGAGGCTGGTGCCTTCCCTTGATCAGATTGGAGAGGGTGCAGGCTGGGCTGAGGGACAACCCTCGCCCCCCATCCTCATGCACAAATTTCGTGCACTGGGCCTCTAGTATATATATAAAAAAGGGTAATATGCAAATTAGCTGGGATCCCTTAAGGTGTCACGATTGGCTCAGGAAGAGCTTTGCACACAGATTGGCGGGAGGGGACTGTGTGCCAGCCCCTGTGGCCATGGGGAGAATGGGGCTGGGGACAGGCCGGAGCGAAGATACAACACCAGGAGTGGGGGCATGCTCCGAGCCACACTGCAGTTGCTCAGAGCATGCCCTCATCCCAATCGACAAAACACCAGGGGCCCTCTGCATGTGAGCTGCAGAGGAAACACCTTTTCTGATCGCTCATTGGCTAAGCTCCCTCTAGGTTACCACTTGCAGTGTTCTTGGTAACTTGGGTAATAAGAATGCGAGAAGATGATCTAGGGTTTTCCCCCCTCACTCCTGGAGGAGAAAACGAAGGTCTGCTGCTGGCAGGCCTAAGAAATGTCATATCCTGCCCTAGCCGCTTTGGCTCTGTGGACAGAGCCTCAGCCTGCGGATCACAGGGTCCAGATTCAATTCTGATCAAGGACATGTACCTAGGTTGCAGGCTCCTCCATGACCGGGGCCCAGGTCAGGACTCATGCAGGAGGCAACCAATCAAAGTGTCCCTTTCACATTGATGTTTCCCTCTCTCTTCCCCACTCTCTAAAAACCAATGTTAACATATCCTCACTGGGGGGGAGAGAGGGGGGTCAGATCCTATGAAAGACACATCTTGAAAACGCCTAAAGAAAGTTGTCATTTTTTCACAGTGAAGGGACTGGAATCTGTTGATGAAAACACCTTGGCGGCTGCGGCAGCTGGCAGTGGCGGCAGCAGCGAGGTGATGGTGGTGGCACCTTCCCTGATCCGCCTGGTCACCTCCCGCAGAGGGAGGCCAGACTGTGGCCGGTGGGGTGCAGGCCTAAGCCATCACACACACACCAGTGCATGAATTTCATGCACTGGGCCTCTAGTCCTATGTAATAATAGGCCAATGTGCAAATTGACAGAACAGTGGAATGATTGGTCACTCTAATGCACACTGGCCACCAGGGGCCAGATGCTGAATGCAGGAGCTGCCCCTGGTGGGGTAGTGCTGCTCAGCCAAAAGCCCTGAGCTGGGCTCACGGCTGGAGAATGCAGCAGCTCCCGCCTCTGTGGCAGCTCTGAGGATGTCTGACTGCCGGAGAGCGGTTCTAAGCCATCAATCGGACATCCCTCAAGGGCTCCCAGACTGAGAGGGCACAGGGCGGACTGAGGGATCCCCCCCCAATCCCGAGTGCACGGATTTCGTGCACCAGGCCTCTAGCTTCATATACCAATTGTTTACTTAACATTATTCATAGCTGCATGATTTCCCATAGTATGGCTCTTCTTGATTTTACCAAATATTCTCAATATGATGATTTAGAATTTTTGCATTTTTTGTCATAAACAATGTTTATTTAGAAAAAGTACATGGGTTGTTTGTTTTCTTAGTAATTGCTTGTCGGAAAATGCCCTTTTGTCTTCACACTTGACCAAGTGTTTGAGTATAGAATATTTTAAGTTGAAATAAAAAATTTACATGAAATGTGTAAGACCTCAAATGTACATCTTGAGTTTTGATGCCTTTATGGACAAATAAAAACCACAGTTCAGGTAAGATATCTAATATTTTCATCACCTCCCATAAAGGCAACCACTGTTATCACTACAAATTCATGTAAATGTAATCAATTTTGGACCTTTTTCATTCAGTATATTTAAGACTCTTATATGTGTGTATGTGTATCAGTAGTTCATTATTATTGCTCAGCAGTATTCAATTACAGTCAAACCTCAGTTCTAGAATATCTCCCATGTCAAACAATTTGGTTTTCAACTAAGTTGTTCATGGAAAGAAATGTCTCAGTTGTCAAAATTTTGGTTCTTGACCTGGCAACCCTTTTGTGCCAATACATGTATGACCAGTCTCAAGTCTCTCAGGCAACAAACAAAGGAGAGAATGTGCGAGTATGGGTCAGTTTGCTGTTAAACCTCAAGTTAACATCTCAGGAAATTGCTGTGAATATTTTTGTGTGACTTTTTGCTTTTGTTACTGATTATTATTAAACTAGAGGCCCAGTGTGTGAATTTGTGCATATGTGGGGTCCAGAGCGGATTGGGGCGGGGCCTGTTGGGAGGTGGAGCTGGCCCACCTCAATCAGGGCCAGACTGGCCACAGGGGCGGGGAGGTGGTTTGCTGGCCAGCCCCACCCCTGATTGGTGGAGGGGACCAATTGGGACAGGGCCAGCCGGGGAGGGGGCGGCAAGGGCTGTTGGCTGGCCAGCCCAGCCCCTGCTTGGAGTGGGGGAGTCTGGTTGGGGGGAGGGGCTGTGAGCCTATAGAGGTGGTGAGGACCCATCATGGCCAGGGCCATCCAGGAGGAGAGGCGGTTTGCCAACTGGCCCTGCCCCTAGTCAGGGTGGGGGCCGATCTGTGGTAGGGCAGGTGGGGGAAAGGGCTACAGGAGGTTGGAGGGCCAGCCCTGCCCTTATTGGGGTAAGGGGAAGAATGGGACTGGGGCCAGTGTGGGGAGGAGCTGCGGGAGGTTGGCTGGCTGGCCCCACCCACGATCAGGCCTATTAGCTGGCGGCAGTTGGGCATCATAATGACTGGTGGTTCTGGTAGTTACAGCATTCTTATGCTGGCTTTTTATATATATAGACTAGAGGCCTGGTGCACGAAATTCGTGCACAGGGAGGGGGTGTTCTCAGCCCGGCCTGCACTCTCTCCAATCTGGGACCCCTTGGGGATGTCCGACTGCCTCTCACAATCTGGGACCACTGGCTCCTAACCGCTCATCTATCTGCCTGCCTGATCACCCCTAACCCCTCTGCCTGCCTGCCTGATCACTCCTAACTGCTCCCCTGTTGGCCTGATCACCCCTAACTGCCTCTGCATCACCCACACTTGGCACCCAAGATTCCCTCCTCCAGTTGGCCCCAGGCACCTAGGACCTCAGCCTCAGCTGGTTTCACCTGGGCCTCAGCCTCCGGCACCTGGGACTGTGGGGCAGGTGGCTTATCTCTCTCATGAGCCTCAAGCACAGCCGCAGGCACCTAGGACCCTGGGGACCTTTGGGCTTGCGGATTGTCTCTCTCCTGGGCTGCAGGCACAGCTGATGGTGCCCGGAACTGCTAGGTGTGTGGCTTGTCCCTCTCCCAGGCCGCAGCCTGGCTGGTCCCCATTCCTCTCTCCCCAGTGTCAAGTGTCTGAGCAATTGTAGCATGAGGGTGTGATGATGTGAGGGTGTGATGACCATTTGCATATTAGCTCTTTATTATATAGGATATGTACAGTAAGTCACCCATAGGTCCTAAGAAAGTTAGTGATAGCAGCAAAGTGAAAATGAAAGTTGTGAGGACAATGATAGAGCTTAAAAAAGAAATAATTGCAAAATATGATAGAGGGGTTCTTGTGTCTGATCTCGCTACCAAGTGAAATTGATGATGAGCACAGTTTTAAAACAAAGGGTGTTGCTCATGAAACAGTGATCACATGGCAAAAAGAGGTAGAAAAATTCTTGATTTGGATAAGCGAAAAGTAGTTAGCCAGTGATAGCATTTCAGAGGCAATGATGAATGCTGCATGCTGACCTCCTGAAAAAAAACCTGGAATGAATGCTAAAAGTGATTTGTTGAAAGCTAGTAGGGGCAATTTGATAATTTAAGAAAAGATGTGGTATTTATAGTGTAGTGAGGTATAGGGAGGCTGCCAGTTCTAACAAAAGAGCTGCTGATAATTTTGTGACAAATTTCAATATGTAGAGGCCAAAGGATTTGTTCAGTTGTGCTGAGAGGCCTCTTCTGGAAGGAAATTCCAAAGAGGACCTACATCACACAAGAGGAGATGTCATTACCAGGACACAAGCCAGTGAAAGATGGGCTGACATTACTATTATGTGGGAATGTAAGTGGGAACTTTAAATCGAAGCCTCTACTTGTCTACCATTCTGAAAAGCTACGAATTTTCAAAAAAATTAATGTCATGAAAAACAAGTTTAGTGTGATGTGGAGGGCTAATAGCAAAACTTAGATAACCAGGCAATTTTTTTATTGAGTGAATTCATGAAGTGTTTGCCCCAATTGTTCTGGGAACAACAATTACCACTCAGAGCACTTCTTATAAGGGACAGTGCTCCTGCCCACCCCCCAGGCTTGGAGCTGAGTTGTGGAGGACTATAGCCTCCTCACTTTTAGATTCTTGCCACCTAAACACAACTCTCCCATCCAGCCCATGGATCAGCAGGTCATTTCTAATTGTAGGAAACTATACAAAGGCACTGTTTTAGAGGTGTTTTGAGGTGACCTCTAAAAATGAATTTAACCCTCAAAGTGTTCTGAAGGAACATTTTAATATCCTCACTTGCTTAAAGCTCATAGACAAAGGATGGGGGCTAGTGTGTTCCAGAACCATGCAATCAGCATGGAAGAAATTGTGGTCCGAGATTGTTGCTGAAAGAGACTTGACAGTTTGAGGATGAGCCTGCGCCTGTTGTGAAGGATATTGTGTGTCTGGACAAGTCTACGGGCTCGGATGTGATGATGTGGAGGAGTTGGTAGAGGACCACAACACTGAGCTGACCACCCAGGTACTCCCAAGACCTTCAGAGGGAGCAGACAAAATATGGCAGCTGAGGAGCACTCTTCAGAGGAGGAAGAGGGAAGGGAGCATATTCCTACTTCATTAATCAAGGAAATGCTTGGGAAATGGGGAGAAATGCAAAGTTTTATTGAGAAATATCACCCTGACTAGTAACTTCTGTGATTAACTTCTTCAGTGACAATGTACTGTTTCATTGTAGGCAAGTGTTAAAAAGCAGGTGAAAACAAACATCATTGTATAGGTTTTTAGTGAGACAGAGGCCCACTGAGCCTGAAGCAAATTGTAGTGAGCAAAGAGACAAACCTACAAAAAAGAGCTCCCTGACATTTTATGGAAGGAATTCCCTTCCAAATAATAAACACCCCTCCTCTCCAAATTCAGTCATCAATAGCTCTCAACATTAAAGATAAGTTCTAATATTTAGTGTATGTAAGTTTTCATTTTTTTTTTATTTATTTATTTATTTTTTTTTTTTAAATATATTTTATTGATTTTGTACAGAGAGGAAGGGAGAGATAGAGAGTTAGAAACATCGATGAGAGAGAGTCATCGATCAGCTGCCTCTTGCACACCCCCTACCGGGGATATGCCCGCAACCAAGGTACATGCCCTTGACCGGAATCGAACCCGGGACCTTTCAGTCCCCAAGCCGACGCTCTATCCACTGAGCCAAACTGGTCCCGGCAGTTTTCATTTTTTACTGTACATCATATACCTTTTAAGTTTTCATTTACATTTCATATCATTTTTGTTTTTAAAGTGTTTATAGACTAAACAGTATGTTAGACATGTACTATGTATAAGAAAGCTTAAAATTGAATCATTTGAGGGTCTAGAACGGATTAATTCAATTGACATTTCTAAAGGGTGGAGGGAGATTTGGTTTTCAAACAAATCACTTCTCAAACAGACTTCTGGAACAAATAAAGTTCAAGGACTGTGGTTCCACTGTTTGTGGCTATATCACAATTTGATCGTCCTTTCACTGTTGATGAACATTGGGTTATTCCCCCCCCCCTTTTTTTTTTTTTTTTTTTGCAATTATGAATAAAGCTGTTAAGGGTGACATTTTATATAATGTCTTCTTGTGGACATATATTTTTATTTCTTTTGGGTAAATACCGAAGGGTTGATTTGCTAAGTTTACAGGGTAGGTAATTACTATCTTAGATGTTATGTTTATCATTTTTATGCTTTTTCTTTTGTCTTTTTTGCCGTTTGTGTTAGTAGGAAATACGTTTATATGTTCTTCTGTGGCTTGCCTTTCTCTGCCTCAATCCTGTTTTAGAGATTCTAAATATTCAAATACTTACATTTTTCCCATTAGGCTTACACTCTACCTTTTTAATCTTAATATGTCTTGTCCCATACTGCTTTGTCATTTTTGTTTATGAGTTTTGTTTTGATTGCTTTTTATAATCCTCACCTGAAGATATGTTTTTATTGATTTTAGAGAGAGGAGATGGGGACAGGGAAACATTGATGTGAAGAAAAAAAATGTTGCCTCCCATATGCACCCTACCATGGTCAACCGATCTGCAACCTTTTTGGTGTACAGGAGGACAATACTCCAACCAACTGAGCTACCTGCTCAGAGCTATTTTTGTTGTTGTTGTTGTTGTTGTTATTTAAGCATGAGAAGCTTTTTTTGTGAAAACGTTTTCTATGTCTGTGGTATTTTGTTTTTTGGTAGTGATTTTTGTATAGTCATTATGATGCTATGTGTTAAACTTGTGTTTGTTATTGATTACTGTGTGTTGATTTGCTTTTTATTTAGTTACTAGAGGCTGGGTGCACAAAATTTGTGTGTGTGGGGGGGGGTATCCCTCAGTCTAGCTTGCACCCTCTCCAATCTGGAACCCCTCTGGCCCGATTGCCTCTAACTGCCCTCCTCTGCCAGCCTGGTCACCCCTAACTGCCCTCCCCTGCAGGCCTGGTCCCCCCCAGCTGTTCTCCCCTGCATGCTGGTTATCTCCACTGCCCTCTCTTGCAGGCCTGGTCCCTCCCAACTTTCCTCCCCTGCTGGCCTGATCATCCACAACTGCCCTCCCCTGTCAGCCATCTTGTGGAGGCCATCTTGTGTCTGCATGGGGACAGCCATCATGTGTGTTGGAATGATGGTCAATTTGCATATTACTCTTTCATTAGGATGGTGTGGATGGGTTCTTAGGCACTTCTTTTGGTTTCCCCTTAGGGACTTGTTTTAAAGGTTAAATACAGATGGAGTTGGGAAGAGGCAGCCTGTGGTATACTAGTTGGCTATGGGCAGTTACTACTGGTGATTTTAGCTTTGGTTTTTGTAATTACCTATACTTTTCCCATGGGGAACATTCAGATATTTGTCCCCAATTTTGATTGAGCTTAAGTTTGGTTCCTGACAGAAAAATAGACCAAGAAGTTGCTATTCGCTTTCCATATGATCCTGTCTCTAGCACTGTTCCTTCCCACTTACTCCTAGTGAGACAATGGTTAAAATAGATTTAAGGGCTGTAACTAGGGAGCTATTCATCTATTTGGGACTACAGGTAGGGCTGGAGGGGCGACTTTTTACACTGGGCTTTATGGATGTCTCCATTGCAATCTGCTTCCTTAATTGTTCTAGTCTTATTTCTTTTCTCCTTACTTTAGATTCTAATAAATTCCTTATAACCCTTCCCTATGAGTCCTGTCCCAGCTCCCTCACTACACTATACCTGTGTACATACACATAAACACAGCATTTCTGAAATTATGGGGAAAAGACAATGGATTCCTGATGTTTTTCCTTGTTGTAGATGGTAGTTTTTCTAAATTTATGGTATGCAGGTAGGCCACCTTTTGTTTAAATGCTCCAGGATTTTAAAAAATAAAAGGAACCCTCCTTCACTCCTGATGGGAATGCAGACTGTGATTATTTTTTGTTGTTGTTGTTCTGTGATTGTTTGCAGTTCTGATTTGCAATACTAACTTCCTCAAAGTGGTCATAGTACTGTATTTTTAAGCCATGTCATAAAATGTTTAATAATGAAAGGATAACTTTCTATACTGCTGAATAATGTCCTGTGTTGCTTCAAGATAAATAATAATTCTAAGGTAATGACAAACGCTTTCATATCTAGAAGGGGATGGATTTTTATGCTGCCAGGATTGAGGATTGGAGGAGTAAGAGAGTGACTAGTCAGGTGCTATATACTACCTGCTGACTCTGGCCTAGCTGTTATTTATTTATTTATTATTTATTTGTCTAAAGTTTTACATATGTATCCTTTTCCCCTGATTGATGGCCTCCCCTCCCACCTCCCCTCTGCCATTCCCACCCCGGGCAAGACCCCATTGCCCCAGTGTGTCTGTGTCCATTGGTGATGCTATATGCATGCATACAAGTCCTTTGGTTGCTCTCTAACTCCTTCCCCTCTTCTCCCACACACACACCATTTGTCTCTGGATCTATTCTTGTTCATCAAATTATATTGATCATTATATCCCATATATGAGTGAGATCATGTGACATTTCTCTTTCTGTGACTAGCTTATTTTGTGTATCATAATGCTCTCCAGTTCCATCCAGGCTTTTGCAAATAATAAAAGTTCCTTCTTTTTTATAGCAGCATAGTATTCTATTGTGTAGATGTACCCCAGTTTTTTAATTACTCATCTGCTGATGGACACTTAGGCTTCTTCCAAGTCTTAGTTATTGTAAATTGTGCTGCAGTAAACATGAGTGCATATATCCTTTCGGATTGATGTTTCTGGTTTCGTGGGATATAGTCCTAGAATTAGGATTACTGAGTCAAATGGGAGTTTCATTTTTAACTTTTGAGGAAACTCCATACTGTCTTCCACAGTGGCTGCACCAGTCTGCATTCCCATCAGGAATGAAGGAGGTTCCTTTTCTCCACATCCTCGTCAGCACTTGTTGTCTATTGATTTGTTGATGATAGCCATTCTGACAGGTGTGAGATGGTGTCTCATTGTCGTTTTGATTTACATCTCTTGGATTATTGGTGACTTTGAACATGTTTTCGTATGTCTCTGGACCTTCTGTATGTCCTCTTTTGAAAAGTGCATATTTAGATTCTTAGTCCATTTTTTGGGGTCATTTATCTTGGATCATTTATCTTCCTTTTTTTAAGTTATATGAGTTCTCTGTAAATTTTGGAGATTAAATCCTTATCAGAAATATCATTGGCAAATAATGTTCTCCCATACATTGGGCTTTCTTGTTTTGTGATGGTTTCTTTTGCTGTGCAGAAGCTTTTTATTTTTATATAGTCCCATTCGATTATTTTCCCTTAGTCTCCATTGCCCTAGGAGCTGTTTCTTTAAAGATATTGCTACAACATATATCTGCTATTTTGCTGCCTATGGAGTCTTGTAGGATTTTTATGGTTTCCTGTCTTACATTGAAGTCCTTTAGCCATTTTGAGTTGTTGTTTTTGTGTGTGTGTGTGTGTGTGTGTGTGTGTGTGTGTGTGTGTATGGTGTAAGTTAGTGATTTATTTATTTGACCAAATTTTCAGCACCATTTATTATTAAAGAGATTGTTCTGACTCCATTGTGTGCTCTTGCCTCCTTTGTCAAATATTGAGTATAATGGCTTGGGTTGATTTCTGGGTTCTCTGTTTGGTTCCATTGTATGTCTGTTCTTTTGCTCGGACCAGGCAATTTTGAGAACAGTGGCTTTATAATATACCTTGATATCTGGTGGTGTGATCCCTCCAACTTTGTTCTTCTTTCTCAGGATTGTTGTGGCTATTTAGAGTCTTTTTTTATTCCAGATGAATTTTTGGAGAGTTTGTTCTAGATCTTTGAAATATTCCATTGGTATTTTAATGGGGATTTCATTGAATCTGTAGATTGCTTTGGGTAGTATGGGCATTTTAATTATGTTGATTCTACCAATCCATGAACATGGTATGTTCTTCTATTTGTTTATGTTGTCTTCTATTTCTTTTCTCAATGCCCTGTAGTTTTCCGAGTAAAGGTTTTTTATGACCTTAAGTTTATTCCTAGTTATCTTAATTTCTTTTGTGCAATGGTAAATGGGATTTTTTATTGTTTTTCTTTCTGTGAGTGCATTATTGAGTGTATAAAAAGGCCATGGATTTCTGTGTGTTTTGTATATTGCTACATTACCAAATTCAATTAGTAAGTCTGGTAATTCTTTGATGGAGTCTTTGGGGTTTTCTGTGTATCATGTCATCTGCTAATAAGGACAGTTTTATTTCTTTGTCAATTTAAATGCCTTTTATTTCTTCTTTGTGTCTGATCGCTATGGCTAGCACTTCTAGTACTATATCAAACAAGGGTGGTGAGAGTGGGCATCCCTTCTTGTCTCTGTTCTTAGGGAAAATGAGTTTAGTTTTTTCCTTTTGAGTATGATGTTGGCTGCTGGTTTGTCATATAAGGCTTTTATTATGTTGAGGTATGATCCCTCTATTCCCACATTGCTGAAAGTTTTTATCAAGAAAGGGTGTTGGATTTTGTCATATACTTCACAAAGAGTTCTCCAGTATTTCTAGTATCCATCTGGCATCATACTGTCATTACAACACTATTGACTTTATACCCTATTCAAGCGACAATAGGTTTACAGGTTTCTTCCATCGTGACTATGATGAAATGACCCCCAAGTCCAGGGCCTGGTTTTCAGGTTTCTTATTTCAGTACACTTTTTTGATTCTTAGAGGTGTGATCCAACTCTGGATATTGATTTACATTAAGCTTATATGAGATTGGTAAATTAGATTTCTGAACCTTTCACTAAGAAGTGTGGTTAAGAATTAATAGGACCGAAATACTAACCTCAGCTCGACAGAGCAATTTCTTTATTATTAAATTCTATTTGGATAAGCCTATAAAGATCAAATGATTGTTTTTGAAAGACTCTGATCAAAATAATGGCATTGGTGTGATCTTAAAGGATGTTATCAAATTCTGGTAGTCTTATACAACATTTTATGTTTTCTAGATTATTACTGGTATATCCATATCATTCAGAAAGAGCACTTGCCGAAACCAGTTCAACTCAGTGGATAGAGAATCGGCTTGCCGACTAAAAGGTCCCAGATTCGATTCTGGTCAAGGGCATGTACCTTGGTTGCGGACACATCCGCAGTAGGGGGTGTGTAAGAGACAGCTGATCGATGATTTTCTCTCATTGATGTTTCTAACTCTCTATCCCTCTCTCTTCCTCTCTATAAAAAATCAATAAAATATTTTAAAATAAAGGGCACTTGTTTTGCCAGAATGTCCTCTAGACAGAATGGGAACAGTTCTTAATAGGATAGGTCAGTGTTAAGTATTTTGTATGAGGCTATAAATAAAGTCAGTTCTATTCTGAAGAAATTAATATATATGAAGACAGTTTTTAAAATCAATTTAAAACAAAGAAAAAGATGTGCTGTTTCTTGTGCAGATATTTATTCTTTGTTCAAACAGCTTTTGGAGATGACTTACTTTTTTCTGTGTTTTCACTAAACAAAGCCCATTTCTGTGTTTGAAAAATAGTACTAGTCCCATCAGTGGGGAGGTAGCACAGCATAAAGAAAGTAACTTTAACTTTTCCCTGGTATTTTTATTATGGAAAAATATACTTAACATAAGATTTATAATTTTAGCTCTGGCCAGTGTGGTGCAGTTAGTTGAGTGACATTCCATGTACTGAAAGATCACCAGTTCAGTTTCTGGTCAGGCATATGCTCAGGTTGCAAGTTCTGTCCCTTCTCAGGGTGCATACAGGAGGCAACCCCTTGATGTTTCTCTCCTACCCCCTTCCTCTTTCTCTAAAATCAATAAAAACATGTTTTTAATTTACCATTTTTAACTACATTTTTTTTTTTTAAATATATTTTATTGATTTTGTACAGAGAGGAAGGGAGAGAGATAGAGAGCTAGAAACATCCATGAGAGAGAGTCATCGATCAGCTGCCTCTTGCACACCCCCTACTGGGGATATGCCCGCAGCCAAGGTACATGCCCTTGACTGGAATCGAACCTGGGTCCCTCAGTCCCCAAGCCGACGCTCTATCCATTGAGCCAAACCGGTCTCGGCTTAACTACATTTTTAAGTGTAGCGTTCAGTGTTATCACATGCATAATATTGTGTAACCATTGCCATCTCCATAACTCTTCTTAAAAAACTGAGTCTTACAAGAAGACTTTCCCAATCAATTATTTCTCATTCCCCAGTCCCTGGCAACTTTCATTCTACTTTTTGCCTCTGATTTTGACTATTCTGAGTACCTCATGTAAGTGAAATTTTTGTGATTGGGTTATTTCACTTAAACAGTAGCTTTAAATTTTAGTTGGACATATTCAAAGCCTGATTCTGTTACCTTCCCATTCTTGTTTCACTGGTTAAATTGCTTAAACCTTTTTGAGCTTCAGGTTTCTGTTGGTAAGGTGGAATTAATTTCATCTCTATAGACAGAACTAACAAAAGACTAAATCTAGAGAAGTTAAGAGGAAAACCAAGAGAAAGATAGGTATCCTGGAAACCAAGTGAAAGAAATGTTTCTAGGAGGGAGTGATTATCTACATCAGTGTTGATCAGAGAACAAGTAGAAGGTCTGAGGAATGACATTTGGGTAAAACCATGTGATGTCCCTGGTTTTCTTCTTGGCGGTTTTTGATGGAATGTTAAAAGCATGTACTGATTTGGATGGATTTAATTGGGAGAAGAAGACTAGTAGACTGATAGCATACACATTCTTGAGGATTTTTGCTTCTAAAAAGGATGAGAGAAAAAAGTGTGAAAACTGGAGGGAGAAATAAGGTTAAGACTTTTTTTTTTTTTTTTTTTTTTTTTTAAAGAGGAAAATATACCATGTATATGAATAGAAGATAAAGTTCTGATATGGAGGGAAAATTTGACATTGGAGCAAATTGCTAAGAAATGTCCTTGTAGGCAAGGTGATGGGGTAGAATAAAGTGGTAAGAGGGCAGGCACTTTGTCCCTAGTAAGAGAGAATAGATGGGCATAGGTCAGAGTTCAGAAAAAAGGCCTCTTCTGTTTTTCTGTTTTATTGAGAAAATAAAAGAGCAGGAAGATGGAGGGATGAGTGTTGGAGATTTGGAGAGTCAAGTAGGAGAAGGGGCTAGAAGAATTTACAGTGTAATTTCTGGTCTTTGTAATGAGTCCATTTAAAGGAAATGATTGCTGACTGGCTCTCTACTATAAATTGAATGATGGTAAGTTTTTCTCTAGCTATGTTTAGCTGTGCAGGCAGAATTGGTTATGGTTCTTCCAAATGAAGAAAGTGAAGTAAAACTGGGCAGGAAGTTTGGGGAAAGAGTGAAATTTCATTCCACTTAAATACTTCAGAATTTGTCTATAACAGGTAAGGATTAAAACACACACACACACACACAAGCAAAATGAACAATAGTCCTTTAATATTAACTTATATTTCGTTTTTCAAATCTGTCTGGTTCTCAGAAATGTTTTTTTTACAGTTAACTTGTTCAATCTTCCATTTCTCCAAGGAGCTCCTAATGGGAAATGGTATTTAGAGATTATAATATGGGTGTCTATTTTTTTAAAAGCTGTTCTTTTCAGTTATTTGATTCTTCATAGTACTGATTGGTTTCTTTTCTTAATTCAATAGGCATGCCCAAAGAAAAATACGAGCCCCCTGACCCTCGGAAGATGTACACAATTATGTCCACTGAGGAAGCAGCAAATGGAAAGAAATCACATTGGGCAGAGCTTGAAATAAGTGGTAAGACAGACATAAATTTATGGTATGGAAATTCAGGCATGGCTAGGAAATTAAGTTTTTTATGCCAGTTCATAAAAGTAGCAATGTTGTATTTTACCAGCGCTAATTTACCTTGGAAGCAGAACGGTCCAATGAGAAGAACATGGTATGAGTCAAAGTTCAAAATCATTGTGTGTATGTTGTTTTGTGTGTGTTTTTAATATGCTATTGATTTCAAAGAGGAAGGGAAAGTAAGAGAGAGATAGAAACATCAATGATGAGAGAGAATCATTAACTGGGTGCCTCCTGCACACCTACTACTCAGGATCAAGCCCACACCCCAGGCATGTGCCCTTGGCCAGAATCGAGCCTAGGACCCTTTAGTCGGCAGGCTGACACTCTATCCACAGAGCCAAACCAGCTAGGGCCCATTCATTGTTTATGCTCTCAGTACCAGTGTCCTTTTGTAAAATTGGAATAAAATCAAGGATGAAAAGAAAATAACATATGTGAAATGCCTCATGTGCAAAGGTTCTGGTTCTTAATTCTCTGATAGAGTAGGATTGAGCTTTTGCATTATCAGTTTACAGATTTCCAGTGGGATTGGACCTGCTTGTTCTAGTGTAAGTTCTGGGTTAGAGTTGTTTCTCCTCACTTTCTTCACTTGCTTTTTTCCAAGGACAGTCTGTCCAAGAACAGAATCTTAAAATTTGAAGTACCGGTAGATCTCAAAGTTCCTTTCTACCGTAAGTGCTTCCTAGACATTTTCCAAGAAAATGTGGGCTCCCAGATCCACAGAGGATATTCCCAGCTTCCTTGTCAGTGGGCATCAGCATTTTTTTTTTAATACTTCAAAGGTGATGAAGGGACATTACTTTTGAAGCAATCAGTGCTAAAAAAAATTTTGTGTTAATGTTCGCCTAATATGCCTCCCCATTCTTTTCTGAAATAATAAAGAAGCTTCCACTCCTTTCTGTCCTTGATTTTTTTTTTAATGTAATGCAGCAAGCATACATGTGTTTTGTATACAATATTTTGCCAAGTGCTATACTAGGCATATGAAAGATACATAAATGAAAAATCACAGACCCTCTCATACTGGAGCTTACAGCATATTAGTGAGTGAGAAGAAGGGAGTGCACCAGTATAAACAACTAATACACAAGCTATAACTGCCAGGTCTAGGTAGAAAAATGTTATACTGTAATCATATTGGAAATAATTTATACTAATACAAGGGTAATATGCTAATTAGACCAGACATCTTCCTGAGGTCCTTTTGGACAAAGCCACGGTGACAGGGACAGAGGCAGGGGTGATCAGGGCAATAGGCAGGCGAGAGGTTAGGAGCCAGCGGTCCTGAATTGCACGAGGGATATCCCGGATTGGAGAGGGTTCAGGCTGGGCTGAGGGGACCCCTCCATTTCATGTACGAATTTCATGTACTAGTGATAATATTTTCCCCTTGTTAGCTCACAATTTTTGGTTAGCCTAATGAGTAAGTAAGCTCAAACACCCTCCTCAAACCAGCCGTAGAGGTTGGTTTACCTCTCTTGGTTTTTATTTTTATTTATTAGCTCCGTGCATGAAATTCATGCACTCAGGCGGGCTGGGTCCCGCAGCTTGGCATGTGCCCTCTCTCAGTGCAAGAGCCCGGCGATGGATTGCCCCAAAGAGGGGCTGGAGCCGGGGTTCCCACCTCCAAGGTGTGCGTGGGGCTGCAGGAACCCCAGCGGAGGCTGCACAGAGTGGCCGCAGGGCCCCGCTTGTGTTGTGCACACACCCATCTTGTGACAGCATGAGGGCATCACGGTGTGGGGACCACGTAGGCTTTTATTTGTAAGGTTATTTTTTAAATAATTATTGTTGAAAGTATTACATATGTCTCCTTTCCCCCCCATTCTCTCCCTCTAACCCACTCTGTCCCAGGCCTTCACCACCCCATTGTCTGGGTCCATGAGCCAGGCATATATGCATACAAGGTCCTTGATTGATTACCTTCCACCTATTCACTCCCCTGCCTTCACTCTAAGGTTCTGCATTCTATCCATGCTTCCATGTCTCTGGATCCACTCCGTTCATCAGTTTATTTTATTTAGATTCCCTCCATGCTATCTCAAAGGGTAAAAGATTCATTCTTTTTACTGCTGCATAGTATTCCGTGGTATAAATGTACCAAAGCTTTTTTGTCCACTCATCAACTGATGGGTACTTTGTTTGTTTCCACATGTTGGCTATTATAAATTGTGCTCATATGTGAACATAGGGGTGCATACAGTCTTTTTGATTGGTCTTTCAGGTTTCTTAGTCCCTAGACGTGGGATCACTGGGTCAAATGGCAGTTCCATATTTAATTTTTTGAGGAAATTCTATACTGTTTTCCATAATGGCTGCACCAGTTTGTATTCCCACCAGCAGTGTACTAGGGTTCCCTTTTCTCCACATCTTTGCCAACATTTGTCATTCGTTGGTTTGTTGATGGTAACCATTCTGACAGATGTGAGGTGATCTCTCATGGTCATTTTAATTTGCATCTCTCTGATGTTCAGTGACTGAACATTTTTTTATATGTCTCTTGGCCACTTTGGAGAAGTGTCTACTTAGGTCCTTTGCCCATTTTTTAATTGGATTGTTTGTCTTTTCTGTTAAATTGTATGACTTCTTATATATTTTGAATATTATCCCTTTATCAGGTGTATCATTGCCAAATATGTTCTCCCATAGAGTTGGCTCCCTTTTCACTTTGTTGATGGTTTCTTTTGCTGTGCAGAAGCCTTTTATTTTTATATAGTCCCATTTTTTTTATTTTCTCCTTATTTTCCATTGCCTTAGGAGCTGTATCAATAAATATATTGCGATGAGAGATGTCTGAGATTTGGGTGCCTATGGTTTCTTCTAGGGTTTTTATGATTTCACAACTTATATTTAATTTTTTTTTATTTTATCCATTTTGAGTTTATTCTTGTGTATGGTGTAAGTTGGTGGTCAAGTTTGATTTATTTGTTTCTGTTCAGTTATCCCAACACCATTTATTGAAGAGACTGTATTGACCCCATTATATACTCTTGACTCCGTTTTTAAATATTAATTAAGTGTAACGGCTTGGATCAATTTCTGGGTTCTCTGTTCTGTTCCATTGATCTATATACCGTTCTTGTGCCAGTACCAGACTGCTTTCATTACAGTGGCTTTGTAGTATAACTTGAAATCTGATATTGTGATTTCTCCAACTTTGTTCTTTTTCAAGATTGCTGCAGCTATTCAGGGTCTTTTGTGGCTTTATATAAATTTTTGATGTATTTGTTCTACCTCTATGAACTATGCTGTTGGTATTTTAATAGGGATTGCATTGAATCTGTAGATTGCCTTGGGTAGTATGGACATTTTAATGATGTTGATTCTACCAATTCATGAACATGGTATATTCTTCCACTTGTTTATATCTTCCATCTCTTTTTTCAATATCCTGTGGTTTTCCTAATACAGGTTTTTTGCCTCCTTGGTTAAGTTTATTCCTAAGTATTTTAATATTTTTGTTGGCAATGGTAAATGGGATTGCTTGTTCTGTTTCTCTTTCTAAAAATCATTAGTGGTATATAAAAAAGCCATCGATTTTTGGGTGTTGATTTTTTTGGGTATCCTGCTACCTCAACAAATTCATTTCTTAAATCTAGTAGTTTTTTGGTGGAGTTTTTAGGGTTTTCTATGTATAATATTTATGTCATCTGTGTATAATGAGCGTTTTACTTCATTCCAATTTGGATGCCTTTTTTTTTTTTTTTTTTTTTTTTTTTGTCTGATCACTATGGCAGGAATTCCAGTGCTATCCTATTATATTCCAATATAAAAACCCTGGGTCCATCACGACCAGAGACTTGACCAATCAGAAGTCAGTCCTGAAGTCAGCGGTAGGTTGCCGTAGAGACCCACCACTGACTGCTGAGGATGGCTGTGAATCAAGCCCAGTGAAAGGCCTGAAGAGAGAAGCAGGGTCTGATCTGTAGCCTCTGTGGCAGCTCTTGATCAGCACTTGCCCCTCTCTTCCTCTCCGGGCCTGGCCAGCAGCTGAGCCTCCATTTCTCTCCAGGCCTCCACTGGGACTGCTGATCAGCCCCGGCTTTCTGATCAGGCCCCATTGATAGGCCCAGAGACTCTGACTGGCATAGAAACCGACCAATTAGAACCAAATTTGGGTGAAGTGTGAGGAGCCAATGGCTGCCTAGGAGGTGGAGCTTTTGACGCTGACTGGCATAGAAACTCACCAATCAGAACCAAATCTAGACAACTGTAGGAGCCAATGGCGGCCTAGGAGGTGGAGCTTTTGATGCTGACTGGCATAGAAACTGACTAATCAGAACCAAATTGGCTGGCAGTGGAGGGCATTTGGGGGTGAAATCAGGCCTACAGGGGAGAACAGTTGCGGGCAAGATCAGGCCTCCAGAGGAGGGCAGTTGGGGGTAACCAGGCTGGCAGGGGAGGGCAATTGGAGGAGAACCAGGCTTGTAGGAGAGGGCAGTTGGGGACAATCAGGCTGGCAGGGGAGTGGTTAAGGGGTGATTAGGCTGGCAGGCAAAAGCATTTAGGGGCAATTAGGCTCCTAACCAGGTGAGCAATTAGGAGCCAGCAGTCTCAGATAGTGAGAAGGATGTCCTACTGCCCGTTTATTGATTTACGAATATTGTATCAACCTTACATTCCTGGAATAAATCCCACTTGGTCATGGTGTATGATCTTTCTAATGTAATGCCAGATCTGATTTGCTAAAATTTTGTTGATTACTACTTCTATTTCATCAGTTGTTATTGTCCTCGTCAGGTTTTCTGATTCTTCCTGATTTGGTTTTAAGAGAGTATTTTTCTAGGAACTTGTTCATTTCATCCATTTTGTCCAGCTGGTTGACATATAGTATTTCAGTATAATCTTTTGTGTTTCTGTGGTGTCAGTGGTTACTTTGCTGCATTTGTTTCTGATTTTTTATTTATTTGGGTCCGCTCTTTTATTTCTTGATGAGTCTAGCTAACAGTTCATCAATTTTGTTTATCCTTGCAAAAACCAGCTCTTCTTGGTTTCATTAAATTTTTTTTTGTTGTCTCGATATCATTTATTTCTGCTCTAATCTTCATTATTTCCTTCCTTCTATTGTAGGTTTTTCTTGTTGTACTCTAATTCTTTAAGTTGTAGGGTTAAATAGTCTAATGTTGGTTTTTCTTAACTTTTGAGTACTATGAACTTCCCTCTCCAGAATGTGAAATCTTCTATAAATGTCTATTAAATCCATCTGATCCAGTGTTTCCTTATTAAGTTTTTGTCTGAAAGATCTATCCAGTGAAGTCAGTGGGGTGTTCAAATCCCCTACAGTGGCTGTATTGTTATCTGTCTCTCCCTTAAAGTCACCTGGAATTTTTTTTATATGTTAGGTGCTCTTATATTGGATGTCTATATGTTTGCCTGGGTTATATCCTCTTGTTGGATTGATACCTTAAGTATTATGTAGTGACTGACCATTGTTGTATCTTGTGGTGGCCTACATTTTTTAAGTCTATTTTGTCAGATATAAGTATTGCTACCCCAGCTTTCTTTTTTTTCTTTTTTTTTTCTTTTTTTTTTTCTTTTTTTTCCATTTGTATGTAAAAAAAAAATTTTTCCCTTCACTTCATTCTCCTCCTGTGGAGTCTTTGATGTTCTGAGTTGTGTCTTTTATAGACAGCATATAATTGGGTCATGTTTTTGTATCCATTCAGCTACCCTATATCTTTAGATCAGAATATTCAAACCATTTATATTTAAGGTTATGATTGATAGGTACTTATTTATTGCTACTTTAATTCTGTGTGCTTATGAAATTATAGGAAATACTATAATATTGCCCCTATTTTTGTTGTTTCTACAGGAAGAGTAAGAAGCTTGAGCTCATCTTTGTGGTCACTAACTCACCTGACAGCTTTGCATCTGAGTGACAATTTCCTGTCCCGTATTCCTTCAGACATTGCCAAGCTTCACAATCTGGTGTATCTGGACCTGTCCTCAAACAAAATCCGGAGTTTACCAGCAGAACTCGGAAACATGGTATCACTCAGGTATGCAGATTCAACTTAGTACCTAACCATATACCTCCTAAAACAAAATCGAGTATTTACTTTAGTAGAAACAATACTTAATTTGATTGTATCTGATCAAAAGTATATATAACTATCCTTTATATAGATTTTCTTAGACTATTGAATGTCAACTAATAAATAATAAGTAAAGAAATTTATGGTCTAAAATTTGTTTTTTTGCTATTTTGTATATTATACTTTGTTCTTGAATCAAAATTTCTTAACAAATTGGGAGTAAGCAAATAGAAGGCACTGTGTTAATCTCACATATGCAGTCACCTGTGATAGTTCTGGTGCTTTTCCCCCACTAAATTATGGGCACCATACATTCTTAACACAGGGTCCAGGAAACCATTTTCAGTTAGTGAAACCTTTTTGGTTATTTCAGGGGTTGTATGCATGATAGTAGTAAAGCCTGGACTTGAGAAAGCTAGAATTAGTCATTGAATTGGGGGACTGTAGTTTGGAATATAGGATTGGATGGGATATGGAGTTGCACAGAGTTCAGTTTGGAATCCTGACTTCGCCATTTTCAACTTATGTGATTTGGGACAAGTTTTTTAACCTCACTGAGTGTTTTCCTCATCTGTAAAGTTGCTGTAAATCCTACCTGCCAGGGCTGAGATTAGAGATATTTGAGATAATAACTAAAAAATAACGCAGCCTGACTGGCACATACTGTATCGTACTGTATTGCTGTCTTCAGTCCAGCCTTTTGACATTTTTTTTAGGCTTCAATATTGAATATATACTATGACCCTTTCTCCTGAACCAAATTTACTTTAAGGACCTTCTTTCTCATGTGATATATTTGGAAATAAACATGAACTAATTAGATTAGTGATAGCTATACAATTAGTAAGTTAATTGTGCAGCTATCAGTAACTATTTTGAGTTGATATTACATGATCATTTTCATTCTCTTTAACAATTCACATATTAGACTACTTTATCGTTTTTTATCATTTTCACTTTCTTAAACATGTATACCCTGTTTCCCCGAAAATAAGACAGTGTCTTATATTAATTTTTGCTCCCAAAGATGCGCTAGGTCTTATTTTTCAGGGGATGTTCTATTTTTCCATGAAGAAGAATACGGTACACATTTTTTGTTAAATGAAAATAAAGGAAATTTATTACCTGTATACGGTACGGTAGTACAGTAGTTGTCAACACAAACCAGACAAACTGTGAATCCTACAATATCAAGAATTTACTCATTTATTCAATGACAATCATGTCATTATCTTCTGGAACATCATCATAACAATCCAATTCCTGAATTTCCTGGTGAATTTCTTGTGAATCCCTTTCTTTCAGAATCAGTGGGCCAAATCTCTCATGTTTAGCCTAGGGGGTCCTTATTTTCGGGGGGGTGCCTAATATTTCACTCAAAAGGAAACCTGTAAGTAGGTCTTATTTTCGGAGGTTGTCTTATTTTCGGGGAAACACAATAGTAGACCCTTCATGTGCTAGACCAGTGTTGCTCTCAGGATGATTGCTTAGAATGCCAGTTTGAAAACTAGTACAACATGTGAGAGAGATTTTATATCTGATGAATCTAATACTATTAAAAAATTGGGGCTTCTGTTTTTTTCTCCCATCCCCCATTCATTTTTTTAGCAACTCGTTGTTTCCCTGCATTTTACAAATGTACTGGTCAGTGGAAGTTTGGATTTTGTGTTTTACTACAAATGTTTTCAGAAGCACTGTACTAGACATTTCAATATAATATGAAATTTTGTCAATTTTAGGAGCTTATATTCCTAGAAATCATATTGTTGATTTTAGCTGTTAGTTAAAGGTTAATATGTCTTCTGACTTCCTGGAATTTTTACATCAACAGGGAACTCCATTTAAATAACAACCTGTTACGAGTTCTACCTTTTGAAATGGGGAAACTGTTTCAGTTGCAGACCTTAGGCCTGAAAGGTATGACTTCCCATATTTGTGCTTCTTTTGGTTTGTTTACATACGTGTATGTGTATGTGTATGTGTCTTTGAGTCTTATGAAGCCATAGAGGGAATTCTTTTGCCTGGGGATTTAGGGATTAATTCTTGCCCAGACTTCATCAATTTTTCAGGTACATCAAATTGTTTTCTCTGTTGTCCACCTATAAATTGTCTACTAGTCTTTATTATTTACTTCTAGTCTAGCATTGGTTTTCTAGCCTTTGTTTCAGTTGCCTCTGTTTTGGTGATACATTTCTGAGGTTATACTTCTTTTATGTCATCGTGCTGTGAACAGCTTTTTAAAATGTTCAAAGCTCTTCAAAAAACAGGGACTCTCACAAAGTGTAGGAAATAGTAAGTAGAAAATTTGGACCTGTTAGTAAAGTATTTTAAAGGGCATTTTTTAAAAACTTGATTTATGTAGATCTCATTAATATATTAGAATTCTATCCAGTAAGAACTATGGGGGGGAAATTTTTTTTAGTGTGTGTGTGTGTGTGTGTGTGTGTATATATATATATATTATTGAATTCAGAGAGGAAGTAGGGGTACGGGAGGAATGAGAGAAACATCAATGATGAGAGAGGATTATTGATGCACACTCCCTACTGGGGATCGAGCCCGCAACCCGAATATGTGCCCTTGACCGGAATTGAACCCAGGACCCTTCAGTCCTCAGGTTGACACACTAACCACTGAGCAACTGGCTAGGGAGGGAAATTATTTTTTTAACCAATATTAAAAGTCATTTTAATAATATGTTAATACCTGCAAATGTTTTCTCAAAATAAGTGATTCTTCATCAGTCTTGTAGATTACTTTATAATTGATTCTTTTTAAAAAGTCATTTAATGGCCCTGGTTGGTATGGCTCATTTGGTTGAGTATCGTCCATCCCATGCTCTGAAAGATGGCAGGTTTGATTCCCAGGTAAGGCACATATTCAGATTGTTGGTTCAATTCCTGGGTCAGAGAGTGCATAAAGCTTATTGATATTTTGATGTCCCTCTCTTAAAAAAAAAAAAAAAAAAAAAAAAAAAAAATCACATAATGAAGTCTTCAAAAATTGCACACTTTATTTCTTAAAAATACAGATAATAAAATGAGATTTTATTTTCATAAATTTGTTTTATATCATATACTAGTAATGACCACAAAAACAAAATGGAAAAAGGCAAATAATACGCTTACAAATGTATATAAAGCCATATTGAAAAACGTTAGCTTTATAAATGGTTCTTTGGAAAGTTTTTCTGTGGGTTAGACTTGCTAAGTCTTAGAGGTCATGGAAATGTGAGCTTTAAATGCCTTTTTCTGTTAACATATTTCTATGGTAAGCCTGGTCTTTTTATTTTTAAATTTTATAATCACAAATATAAAATGTAGCAAAGTATATTTATATACTACCACCAGAATTAACAATTAATATTTTGTCACTTTTAATGCAAAAGAAATACGTTATAGAATTTCTTAGGAAATTTCAAGAGTTTTAGTAGTTCTATGCAAGAACATTGGAAAAAAATAAATATACGAGGTATGGCAAAAGTAGGCTTTCAGTTGTGAGTATGTGAAACACAGTTTATTCTTTTATTATTATTTATTAATTATTGAATTTTTTTTGTACAAACAACTGCAAACCTGTTTTTGCCCACCCTGTATATTTATTATAAATCACAGTTTAACATAGGGTCTTTTACATAACAAAAATTTAATTTGGTGAAGTCCAGTTTATCAGTTTTTCCTTTTATGGATCCTACTTTGGGAGTCAAGTCTGAGAACTCTGAATAGCTCTAGATCCCAAAGATTTTTCTCCTGTGTTTTGTACTGAGTTTTATGACTCACATTTAAGTTTGTGATCCATTCTGAGTTAGCATTGACTTAAAATAAGCAAGTTTAGTTCAGGGTTGTGTGAGTATGTGGGTGGATGTCCAGTTGCTCTAGCACCATTTGTCGAAAAGTCTATCCTCCATTGACTTGTTTTGGCTTTTGCCTCTTTCAAAAATCAGTTGGACATACCTGTGTAGCTTTATTTGTTGGTTCTCTATTCTGCTCCACTGACTATTTGTTTATTCTTCTGCCAGTGAATACCACATTGTTACTTGAAATTTGTTAGGGTAAAAAGTCTTCAAATAATGTCTTGAAATAGGATAGACCGATTCCTCCGCTATAGTCATGTTCCACATATGATGTTTCTGTTGATGATGGAACACATCATTATATACAATAGTAGTTTACCATAAAGCCTAGATGTGTGATTGACTATACCGTCAATCTTTGTATAAATGCACTCTAGGATATTTGCACAATTACAAAATTGCCTAAGGACACATTTCTCAGAACAGATCCTTATCAATATACTAGGGGTCTGGTGCACAAAAATTCATGCACTGCTGGGGGGATGGGTGTCCCTCAGCCCAGCCTGCCCCCTCTCACAGTTCAGGAGCTCTCAGGGGATGCCCTACTGGCCTTCCTCTGCAGGAACAACTGGATCGATAATGGGAAGGCGCCACTGCTGCTGCTACTGCCAACTGGCAGTCCCTGGCTTCTTGGCGCTGATCCCACCCACTGGTGGGTGGGAGGGTGATCGTGGGCCAGGCCGACTGGGAGGTTGAGGCACAGCAGGTCTTACCTCCTCTGCTCCTGTGGCAGCAGCAGCGGCCTCCTGTCCCGAAGCAGCGCCTCTCAGGGTCCCTAGGCCCTCACAGCTGCTGTGGCTTTGTCCAGGTGGATGTCCAGAAGACACCCACTCTAATTAGCATATTACCCTTTTATTAGTATAGACTGGAGGCCCTGTGCATGAAATTTGTGCACTGTCGGGGGAAGGGTGTCCCTCAGCCCAGCCTATACCCTCTCCAATCTGGGACCCCCTCGGCTGGCTCCCAACCACTCGCCTGCCTGATTGTCCCTAACCACTTCTGCATGCAAGCCAGATCACCCCCTAACCACTCCCCTCCAGCCTGATCGACACTTAACTGCTCCCCTGCTGACCTGGTCCCCTTCCTCTCCAACTGCCCTCCTCTGTAGGCCCAGTCTCCCCCACCCCCATCTGTGGCCATCTTATGACCACATGAGGCTACCATCTTGTGCAAGGGTTTGACAGTCAATTTGTGTAAAAACTCTTTATTATATAGTCATCTCTTCTATTTTTGTTTTGTTTTTTGTTGTTGTTAATCCTCACCTGAGGATATTTTTTTCCCCTCATTTATTTTTAGGGAAAGTGGGAGAGGGAAAGATGGAGAGAAACATCGATGTGAAACACATCGATTGGTTGCCTTCTACATGCGCCCCAACCAGGACCCAGGCTGAGGAGGAGCCTGCAATCAAGGTTCATGCCCTTGACTGGAATCAAACTCAGGGCCATTTCGTCCACAGGCCAATGCTCTATCCACTGAGTCAAACCAGCTAGGGCCAGTCTTCTTTTCCAAAATGATTTTAGCTGTTCTAGTTCTTTTGTCTCTTGGTGTATAATTTAGAATAATCTTGTCTATAGTTACAAAAAATGTTCCTGGGATTTGGATTCGAATTTATTAAACCTGTACATCACCTTGTGGAGAATTGGCATCTTTACTGTGCTGAGTCAATTCGTGAACCTGCTATGTCTCTCCATATATTTAGCTCTTGCTTTTTTTTTTATTGTGTAATCTATAATCTATAATAATAAAAGCATAATATGCAAATCGATCGAACAGCAGAACTACCATCCACACGACCATTCTATGACACACACTGGTGCCAGGCCAGCCAAAGCGGGTGCAATGCGATTGGTCGGGGGGAAGGCCCAGGCCACCCTCTGCAAGGTGATTGATTGTGGAGTTCTGGCCTCTCTCTGCTGAGTGATGGATCGTGGGGCGATCGATCTGGGGGGTCCCACAGAGAGAGGCCCAGACCATTGGCCAGCGACACTGTGGTGGGTGTGTGGGACTGGCCAGCGATGGCCACACAAAAGGAGGCCCAGGCCAGTCAAGCAATTGTATCCCATGCCTGTCGCTTGCAGAGGGAGGCAACCAGTGGCAGGGGGGTGAGGGAGGAGCGAACAGCGCCATACAGATGGCAAACAGTGGCAGCCAGGGGTGAGGATGGGGAAGGAAAGCTCTGATGGCCAACCAGGCCTGGGGACCCTACCTGAGGGGTCCCAGATTATGAGAGGGTGCAGGCTGGGCCGAGGGACACCCTTCCCCTCCCACACTACCTGTGTGTGAATTTTGTGCATCAGTCCTGCAGTCCTAATATATAAGGAGCCAGGGTCTGTCACAACCTAAACAGCTGGATGGATGACCAAACAGCAGACTAGGGTCCCTGTCGGTGTGGCGGGAGTCAGTCCTGAGTCATGTAAGTAGAAACCGTAAGATATAGAAACAAGGCAGATCTGTCATTCTACATGGAGAGAGAGATTGGCAGGAGAATAGCAGGGAGCCCGAACTCCCATCATCTCATAACAGTAATGAATACCCATGCTCCCCACCCCTCCCCCCCCACACACACACCCCTACAAACCTTGGGCCAAGTGGGGAACCTGGACTTCTAGTCTCTTCTTGAAAACAGTGAGATGGCATCTCACCCTTCCCTTACCAGAGCAGTATCAAAGTAAGTCAGATAAAACAGGGTTGAAAAGGATCCAGAGTTTCATAGTGCTCAAAATTTCTAGGTTTCAATTATCAAATTATTTATACAAAGAAGCAGAAAGATCTAAACTGAATAAAAAAGATAATAGATTCTAACATTAAGATAGTAGAGATGATAGAGTTATTTGATAATAAGTTTAAAGTAGCCATCAGAACAATCTTTGCATGAGTGATTTTGAACATCCTTGGGGGGGGGGGGGGGCGGTTGTTATGGCAAGTAAATAAAAAGTCTCAGCAAAGAAAATGAAGCTATAAAGAAGAACCAAATGAAAATTTTAGTACATAAGACTATAATAACTAAAATAAATAACTCAGTGAATAGCCTCAAAGCAGAATGGATGGAACAGAGGAAACACAG